TGGGTCGCCATTGTCTGGACGGCTCCAATGACTCGTTTTTCGAACCTGCGCAGAACACTGCCTCATCCTGACAAACACCTTCTTCCTCCTTCCGATGCGGGGAAGGCAACTTGGATGTCAGACTATGTCCTCATCCGGAGGCGAGACCAGCGGGACCTGTTGGTGACAAAGGCGATTCCGAGTCCCAATGGGTAGGCCGACCATATTCTGGTCATCTCCGAGATGAGGATTCACCTACAGCCACACTGGATCCGTCTCTAATCTACCTTCGTGGATCTGATGAAAGCCATCGATACGATGAATCACGAAGGACTGTGGAAAATCATGCAGAAATTCGGCTGTTCCGAACGATTCGCTCGGAGGGTTCCTGCCGCGAGTCACAGGCAATGGAATGAAGCAGGGCTGCGTCCTCGCACCCACACTCTTAAGTTTACTATTCTGTGCCATGCTGGCGAACGCCCTGGAATCCGTACCGCCAACAGGACGGACGGCCAACTCCTCAGCCCCCAGAGGATGTACTTCCAGTCGCGTGTGTCCACAACTACCGTCCATGAACTTCTTTTCACCGACGACTGCGCCCTAAATGTCACCTCCGAATGGGACTTGCAAAGGGACATGGATCTCTTTGACGTCACCTGTGACAACTTCGGCCTGGTCGTCAACACGGAGAAGACAGTGGCTGTACATTAACCATCACCCGACGCTGCCTACGACGCCCTCCAAATCAACTTGAACGAGTTGTGGCAACTGAACCTGCCTGGACTACACCCTCTCCGCCAACATCAAAATCGACGATGAAGTGTCCCGACGGATTTTAAAAGCCAGTCAGGCCTTCGGCTATGTCAGTAATCGACACAGTCTCCCCCTCAACATCAAACTAAAGTTGTACAAGGCAGTCATCCTACTGACGCTGATGTAAGGAGGAGGGACCTGGACAGTGTACAAGAAGCAGACGCGAAGTCTCAATCGCTTCCACCCCAACTGTCTTCGACCCTGCCAACTGTAAGGACCTCGCCCTGGACCGAACGACCTGGCATAGCGCAGTGAAGACAGGCACAGCGATCTACGAAACCAATCGCATCACCGCCGCCAAAGCCAAACGCGAAGCTTCTAAATTTCACTTGCCCCCCCCCCCTCCCCCTCGCAACGCCAACAATTATCCGTCCCCGACCTGCCCACAAAGCCAGCGGACGTTCTGGGCACCAATCGGAGTTGTAGGATATCTTCGTACCAACTGCAGCACCTAAACTACACCAGCTTCTGTCTCACTACTCAAATCTGACTCATTATCTGTGCCGAAAACCAACATGGGCCGCACTCTCGAACCCCTAATACCATCCTCCTCCTCCTCCTCCTCCTCCTCCATCGCCTCAACATCGACTGAAGCGGCTTTTGTACCCACCACCACTGCACACAATCCTGACCAGCAAACATATATCAACCTCAACACCGCCAACACCAGCGATGTGTACTCGGTGCATACCTGTTCTTATTGCGATCGCATCTTCACCTCACACATCGGCCTAGTCGGTCACTTGCGAATCCATCGCACATATACTAGTGAACCGGTGCCTGGAGTATCAGCCTACACTCGTTGCATTCGCCGCCACTGTCTGCACTGTCCTCGCACATTCATGTACCGCATGGGCCTATTTGGCCACATGCTTATTCACGATAGCTCCACCACACTCAGCGCATTTTGAACGCCCGTCATACTTAGCCAACACACACCCGGTCGCCCAGCGTCTCCATCATCAACAGCGACACCGATGTCCTCATCTCCGAAACCGACACTGACACCGCGGACTTTTCCTGTCCTTACTATTCCCGCACATTCGTCTTATCCGTCGGCCCGGTCGGTCACTTGCGAATCCATCGTCCACAGACTGACGAACCTGTGCCCGGAGTACCAACATACACCTGATGCATCCGTTCCCACTGTCCCCACATGAGCATTCATGAAAGCCTGCGGTAGACAACCGCTGGCTAAACCACACCATCATATCTTCCCCACCTCCATCACACAGCATCACCCACCACAAGCATCCAACTGCCACCTCCCACGCGAATGGAAAGTGTGTGTCTCGGCTCCGTCTCCATGCGGCTCCTCTGCTGAATGTGCGATCCGAGTCTGAGACCATCACGATAGCTTTGTAGGCTGCTGAATCAAACCTCAACTTAGTCCACGCATTCTGCCCAGTTATGTGTGTGTTTGTGTGGAGTGGCGAACTAGTGGGCTGAGAGCCAATCAGAAACAGTTCTCCCTTAACATGACCTACGACACCCACGCATGTGAAATGTACGCCGTTCAAAGCCCGTTTTGCTAAATTCTGGTGCCTGTGTTGGGGGGGCCAGGTCGCGCATGTGACGCTCGCAGACAAAATCACTAGACTATGTCAGCCATCGAGCCCATTCCCGCACCAGTCAACTGACCGGCTCAGACAGTGACTGGGGACTGGGAAGGCAGAATGAGGTCGACGACTCAGCGCACTTCCTCCTCACTATAAACAATCTGATGCGCTTGAAGCTATCACGGTGCGCTAAAAGCCGTGGCTTGGAAGGTTGCCAACTGACGGGGTAACTTCGACCTCCTCCTTGACCGGAGGCGGTCTGAAAGTCAGGCTGCAATGGCTCCTTTTAATGTGGCCTTTATGGCGTTCCCACCACAGCGTGGGATCCGAGCCAGGTGTCGGGGGCACGCCTAGGTGCGGCTTCGGCCGTGCCGGCCTCCAAATCTCTGTTGTGTTGGTTGAAATCCTGGTTATTGTTGTGTGGACCAGGGGGTGTGGTGGAACGCCAAGTTGAGGATCCGTCCGAGCCGTCCACCTGCGGCCTCCCTCGTCTCCGGTCTTCTTGACTCTGTCTTGACACCGGGCCCAGGCAGGGGAGGAGGAGAGAGTGTAGGTAGATGCTACGCAAGTCTACTGGCACTATAAACCCCTGCGTAAGTCACCGTCCCTGCTCCCACAGCTGCAGCAGCTGTGGGGCACACGGTGGACATAATCTAAATCGATGATCGAACTGTTGTGTGTGGAGCGGCCGACTGGTGGTCTGAAAGTCAGGCTTCAATGGCTCCTTCTTAATGTGGCCTTTATGGCACTCCTCCCACTCCGTTGGGTCCGAACCAGGTGTAACGGCACGCCTAGCTGCGGCTTCGGCCGTGCCAACCACTCTTTTGTTGTTGTTAAAATCCTGGTATTTTGTTGTGTAGACCAGGGGATGTGGAGTGGAACGCCAAGATGCGGGCTCGACCCCTGCCATACACCTGCGGCCTCCCTCACCTCCAGTCCTCCTGACTCTATCTTGATACCGAATTCAGGTGGGGGGAGAAGGAGAGAGTGCGGTAGATGTTCCGCAGGTATACATTTACTATCAACAAACAGACAAAGTCACTAGACTATGTCAGCTACCGCGCTCATTCCCCGCACCAGTCAACTGACCGGCTCAGACAGTGACTGGGGACTGGGAAGGGAGAGTAAGATCGACGACTCAGCGCACTTTCCCCGCCATAAGCAATCTGACGCGCTTGAAGCTATCACAGTGCGCCAAACGCCGCGGCCTAGAAGGTTAGCAAATGCCGAGACAGCTTGGTCCTCGTCGAAGGACGGAGAATCAGGATTCAGTGGCTCCTCAATTCGGATTCGACTCCCCTTCCCTCTTTCTTCCTTTCCGTTTAACATCCTGTCTAGTTGTGCTTGGTGGACCAGAGACTGAAGTAGCACGCCTTGGTGCGGCCCCACACTGCACCAGCTGCCCGCGTCATCTGTCTTGATACGGGGTTCAAGTGCCAGACAAGGATCCGGTACGGGAGATGTAGCTCAAGTCTTCTATCACTGCAAATTAATTCACCGTTCCTGCGACCACCACGTCATTCGCGGTAATCAGACTGAGTGGAGGAATGGTAGGGACTCCGTAATTGAGTTCCGAGGGAGACACTACCGCCGGAACAAGTGTTTTGTTCGTCTGACGTTTCGGATTCCCGCTCGAACCCATCATCAGGGACAAATGGACAAGGGGCTGCAGTATTTATAGGATGCAGTCCCCATGCGACCGCATGCCTGTATAACTTCACGGTCATCCCCTTCACCGGGCATAGTTGCACTTGGTGTGATGACTGTTCAATGGCCGACATTGGCGTCGTTAATCGCTGCAATTTCATCACGGGTGTTAGAAGTTGGTGTGATAATTACTCGACCAGTTGACTCACCGACCCAGTCTATGGGAAGAGTGTTCACCTCTGCGCTCCCCGTTTAAGTAATTACTCCGCCTAAGCAAAGCCTCAGCACAGAATATCGAAGGAGACTGTCACTGCATTTGTTAATAGAGTAGAAGCCGCTAAACCAGAAATCCTGCAACTCGCGGCTCATGCGGTTGTCAACTACAGCGTGCGTGTGTGGCCGGACCTCGTCGGAATGAGCCGCAATTTGAGAGCTGGCGTAATTTCTCCGCACTGCTGCCGTTTGTTCGGCTATTCTTGTTCGGGACAGTTTTCCGGTTTCTCCAACGTAGTCACTTTGCCCGCAACTGCATCAGATCCGGTAAATGACTCCAGACGTTTCTTTTCGTGGCAGTGGGTCTTTTGGTTTCATCACCTGACGCCTAATGGTTGCCTCCGGTCTGTGTGCAACCCCAGCCCAAGTGGTGCGAGAAGGCGACCAATGGTTTCCGAAACGTTCTTGACATACGGAAGCGCCCGCCAAACTTCGGGACCCGTGCGGTTAGGCCTTTCGTCCTCTTTTCGCATGCACTGATTGGTGAAGTTGCACGGGTAGCCATTTTTTCTGAAAACCCTTCGAAGGTATTGTAGTTCGGCAATCTCGTCTCCAGCTCACTACAGTGCGTCTTGACACGCCGATATAGCGACCCCATTCAACTGCGTTTGTGGCCGATTGGGTGGCTGCTGTTGAAGTTCAACATTGTTATCATGATCGTCGCCTTCCTGAATACTTTGATCTTTAGGCCATCACAATCTTAACGGCATACGAGAACATCAAGGAAAGTTAGTTGGTTATTTTTTTCCTCCTCCGTTGTATGTCCGGGAAGTCAGCGTTGAGGTGTTCCTTGAATGTCGTCAATTGATCCCGGTCGGTAACGATGAAGGCATCATCCACATGCCAAGTCCAGAACTTCGGTTTGTGGTATTGGAAGACCAGCGACTCCAACCATTGTGGGACCGCCTTGGCCATGAATCCCGAAATAGGCGAACCCATTGGTGTGCCTTTCACCTGTTCGTAGATTGTCCTGTCGAGCGTGAAGAACGTCCTAAGACAGAACTTCAGGAACTGAAGTACTTGGGTGTGTCCAAGACGGTTCTCCGTTTCATCGTATTTGCTTTGCAGAAGCAGCTCGATTGTCTCGATCGCCAGGTCCTGCGGAATAGAAGTAAGAAGGGGTGTAACATCAAAAGATACCATGACTTCATTTTGAAGGAGGCTTGTCCCTTAAAGTTTCTCCAGGAATTGTGCTGACCAAAAGAGATCATGGTGTCTGACTCAGCTGTCAGGAACTTGAGACGCCGGAACAGCCGATTTGTCACATTCGCCCATTCCAAGTAATGGGTGCTGACAAAAGTGCATTGATTCCGATTGAGTATGAATATTCGCCTCACTTGCTAACTGTACATAGCTTGGTGTTTAAAATTACCAGTACCCTTTAGAAACTGCTGCAGCTTGTAACTTGGCTTCCTAAACACTGTGAACATCAGCGACAGAAACCACGTTTAAAATCAGCTAATGAAGCGTTGAACAAACTATGTGCTATAGGAGTTTGTAGGTGTACAGCCAAACGAGTTCAGGTACCATCAGCGGAAACGGTGTCCCCTAAGCTAATGCGTGGACACCCGTCACTGACAGTTTGTGTACATGCATGTGACCGTCTAAGTCTGTCATTGTCCCAAGGCAATCGATTGTCCAACATTCCTTCCACAGATAATTGTACTGCGGTTTTTTCATAGTTTCTTTCATATCTGCTTAACAAGCGCAACGACCTCTCGCTACCATATTCGGTGCTGAGACATTCTCAGGCGTGGGGTATCAGTCACGTGGGGAGGGTGCGGGCGAGCGACAATTACAGTGACATCGGGCCACATTTCCAAGTAGTCATCACGTCAACATCCAACACGGAGGACGAGATCGTGGCCATTAAAGAGTCGGACGCGGACTGACGAGTCAGCGTCGCATCAATTACGACCCCACAGCGGTGATCGCGACAGCCGTTAATTAAAGTACGCATGTGATCCCACGGGAGCTACGTACTATAAATACTGCAGTCTTTGTGCCTTCCCTGCCCTTATATACGACTGTCTCTGACGATGGGTATAGGTGAGAATCCGGAACGTCAGGCCCATAAACTTCTTGTTTCAGTGGTCGCTTCTTCTTCTTCTTCTTCTTCTTCTTCTTCTTCTTCTTCTTCTTCTTCTTCTTCTTCTTCTTCTTCTTCTTCTTCTTCTTCTTCTTCTTCTTCTTCTTCTTCTTCAGAATTAGTAGTACGATCATTGCTGTGGTCCGCAGAGCACAAGAAGTTCAGCAGACGACGGGAACAACTGTTTAATCAGGTCTTGGGCCAGCTGTTTAGGTTGGGTCCACCGACAAGCATGTGTCCGAGCCATAACTCAGAACGATATCGATCGGCTTCACGGGGTCGGCAAGTCGAAGACTAAGTCACACGTGGCACAACCAGTCATCCGTGAAGTGAGCTCGCTCACTGCTGCCAAGCCCTGTAGATCTCCACAGGGCGCCGCGATGGTCTGTAGGCAGAACGATGAAATATATTTCACTGACGATTCCCCCTCCAACGACTGTTTTATTGTCCCATCATTTCGCTCGTTCCACGGACTTGCCAACTTTTCGGTGTTTCTTTCCACTTAGACCAATTTAAACCATCCTTCTTTTTCCCCTTTCTCGTATTTCTTTCTCGTGGTTGAGGTCTTCCCATCCATTTTATCCCATTTCTACTATTACTCTCGAATTCCATCTTCTCTGATGGGACTTTCACCTTGTCTAGCAGTCTGAGCAATCGCGAGAGGTCAGTACCATTGGTATGAAACAGACTGCCGGCAACAGTTACCGCAGATAGACCATAAAAATTAACTCTGGAGATCCTCGGTCCCACCTGCTAGCGAGTCATGGTATACACTGGGAAGGAAGAAAGATGATTGATGTAATAAGAGCTGTAATGTCCAGACCTATCAGATCCGTAGCTTAACCCTTCATCAGAGACAGGAGCATATGGAGGCGGTGGACGCATATGGTATGTAGTGGCTGCGGAACATCGCTGCTACGCAGCCGCACAATTATTTGCTGCCAAATTCGGCGCAATAGATAATTAAAAGGACAGATTTGATCCGACAAAGCAGCATTACAAGCCGTTTTGAAGGATCGTCGATAGGGACACACATCATATCGAATCTTGACATGAAAAACACCCTAACTCCAGTTCTTCCGTGTAAGTTCTCATTTGGGCTTTTGGTGATTCAGGAGCCTAGAGTACTCCAGTGCCTATAGTCATTGTCTCTGGTATAACGCGCGATCGCCAGGGCCACTCAACTTACTACGAGTTTACCTAAAGACGCCCTGGCACGCCCCTGCCACGTACATTCAGCCTTCCTAGGTAATCAACACGATGACTGACGTGGAAATTCGCTGACTCACTTAAAGTCGGAACACATGCTCACGTTCACCGCGCTGCCTAACCATCCAACTCTTCAGGCCTTCTGTGCGAAATAAAAACCCACCTTCTGGCGCCTATATTATTCTCCTCGTAATCGAGACCTTGCCAATGAGTCATAGATTTTCGGGTCCGTTCATGACTTTACCAGTTGTGACAAACTCAAGGTGATTCATGACCAACTTGCGAAATGTGATCATCGTCGTTTATCTGCGAGTGTCTCTGCTGGCGACCAGTCATAGCCGATCGCCGACCGACGGAAGACGGCCATAGAAGTACGCATTTTCCACTTCGCACTTTTCCATATTTTTTATTTTTTGATTTTACCGTCTAACTCTCTTACCCAATCACTGTGCGTTGAGATCTTGCAAGGCACTT